TATCAATCTGAGTCCAATTCAATAATGAATCCTGCTAACATTTATCACAACTTTAACTATAAATTTCTTTCATGATCATTTCAGGAAAAAATAAAATATCCCTGTATTTTGCAAGCCATATGAACATCATTTCTCAACATGTCTAAGCCTTTGTTCATCTTCCTTCTCACTAATAATCCTTCCTGCTTCCTATTCCTCACAGCCTCCCCTCTGCCACCTGCTTATATCCTATCCACATTAGTCATAACAAGATAATCCAATATATCACTCGGAGGATTTCGATGAAGGAGTCTGAGAGACCTCTGGAGGGCGAGGGGATGCGAGGGGAGGCGACGGGAGGCGAGGGGAGGCGAGGGGAAGATCTTGTGTCCGGACAAACAGATCAGCAGAGGCCGCCTGGCGTGTTGCTCTCCCGTCCACGCGCCTGCTCTCGAGACTTCGCAATTATGCCTGATCTCTATAAGTTTAAGTGTGTCTGTGTGACTACATATGCATGTAAACTCACACACACACACATGTATATATGCGAATACACACATAACACACACACACACACATGTATGTAAATGTGTGAATGTATGTATGTATGTATGTATGTATGTATGTATGTACGTATGTATGTATGTATGTATGTATGTATGTATGTATGTATGTATGTATGTATGTATGTATGTATGCATGTATGTATGTATGTATATGCATATGTATATGTATACGTATACGTATATGCATGCATGTATGTATGGATGGATGGATTTAAATATAACTTCTTCCTTGTCTGTTATAATTCCATCTGGATCCAGAAGGAGACGTTGCCGCTTGCAATTATTCTGCTTGTGAAATGGAAGCTGCCACGATCTGCGGTTCCTAAAGCAGTCTGAAATATTTTTGTTCCTAAATGTTATTGAAAATTATTCGGATTAGCACGTATTTTTATTCGATTTTACCGTGTTTGACATCTCCTTATTTTCATTGCTATCGTTATTGTTGTTATTATTTTTTTATCATTATTATTACTTTTATTATTATTATTGTTATTATTAGTATTACCATTATTGCTATTAGTAGTATTATCATTATTGTTATTATCAGTATTATCATTATTGTTATTACTGTTGATATTACCATTATTATTATTATTATTATTATTATTGTTATTATTATTATTATTATTATTATTATTATTATTATTATTATTATTATTATTATTATTATTATTATTATTATTATTATTATTATTACTATTATTATTATTACTATTATTATCATTATTACTATTATTATTATTATTATTATTATTATTATTATTATTGCTGTTGTTGTTATTATTTTATAACTATTATCATTACCGTTGTTGTTGTTGTTATTATTATTGTCATTATTATTTTATTACTTATATCATCACCGTTATTGTTAATATTATTATTGCTATTATCATTATTATGATTATCATTATCATTGTTATTATTATCATTATTATTATTATTATTATTATTATTATTATTATCATTATTATTATTATTATTATTATCAATATCATTATCATTATTATTACCATTATAATTATTATTATTATTATTATTATTATTGTTATTGTTATTATTATTATTGCTATTATCATTATTATTGCTATTATCATAATCACTATTATCACTGCAATTGTCGCCTGCAGGTTACTGCTGTAGCTGGGCACCACGGCGGGTAAGGACTAAGTTCAACCGAGTCAGCACCAGCTGACACACGTTAGCGAGTCGGCATTAGTCGACGCAGGCCGGGCTCCCCTCATGGGTATAGTCTTGGCGAGACTCAGCTTCGCATATCAGATATATCCTTACCTTCCAGAATAACAGAGTGGGAGTGTCAGAGAGAGACAGAGAGAGCGGAGGGGAATCAGTGGATCAAAGGTTGGTAAAGCTGGTCACGTGATAAGGAAGTTTAATGTATCCGTGCATTTGTGTTGTGTTTGTGACCAGCGAATAAACGTAAGAACAGAAACAGTCTATCTATTGTTCTGCGCTACTATTGTTAAAAGTTCACCTGGAGCCTCGCCTTCAGCAGAGGTTCGCTACAATTGTAATCATTATTATTATCACTATTAATATAATTACTGTTATTATTGTAATTATTATCATCATTATTATTATCATTACCATTATTATCATTAATATTATCCTTATTATCATTATTATTATTGTTGTTGTTGTTGCTCTTGCTACTGTAATTATTATTATCATCATCAATAATGTTGATATTATTTTTTTTATTTATTTATCAATACTTATTATTATTATCATTAATATTGTTGTTGTTGTTATCTTCCTCATTACTATATTTCATCGTTACTATTATCATTATCATTATCATTATCATTATTACTATCATTATTATCATTATTATTGTTATCATTATTATTGTTATCATGATCTTTGTTATTATTATTATTATTATTATTATTATTATCATTATTATTATTATTATTATTATTATTATTATTATTATT